ACCTTATCATAAAACTGCTAAGGCCCAAATAAATGAGCCCTGCACCTATTCCAGTAAATGATGATGCCCATGGTTCCATTCGATTGCAGCCAGCGCAAGCTGAGACCATACCTGAGAAAAGACGTATCAACTACCATGCCATAATATATTATATACTAATACTATCGCCATTTTTCAGCTTTCTAATTTAAATTTTACTTTCAGACGCATTTCAGCCCTAATTTCATGAAAGAATCGAACTGACTTGAATTTTTCAAATTCGAAAGGCCACCTACATTCTCTTCAGTGTTTCTGAGTATGTCGCAATCGTCAGCACCTTGTTCATGTTCTAGTTACTGAGGGAATTAGAGACAATTACCAGAGCTGGCGAATTCAAACAAGCTGATCGTACAAGAAATAAAAGCGGCTCAGTTTTGTATTTTTTTAAGGCCCTTTTAGTGTTGCGGAGCCCACGCTGCTTCCATAAGTCTGTTTAATGTAAGAGACGAATTCGAAAACATGTGCTCAATTATATTCGACTTTTCAAAAACAAAAAGGCTAATTTTGTTCCTCAAAGTCATCTTTGAACAAAGTGAAAGCCTCGATTTTTGACAAACTACAATATCACCGATGGCGGCGTATTTGCGAAAAACGATGTCGCGTCCGAAGCGTCGCATTGCCGTAAACCGTTTATATTCGAGAAAACAACAAAGAAGTTACTCAATCTAGAATCAGCGACTCCTAGCGCCGTAGTAAACAAGACAAAGTTATTAATTTGCAATTCCGCTGAGGTTACTGCTGAAGATGATTATTGAGAAATCAGGAAATAAAATGAACTTTCAACTTCAAAACGTAAAGTATTTTAAGCAAGTAAAACCATATTTTGTACAAATTTTCGATAAATTTTGGAATTTTGAATGATTAGGTTCGCGGATGAAAAGTGCTGTGAATGATGTTTACTGCTTTCATCAGTGGAAGCAGAGCTTACTGAAAGTGAGTTTTTAATGCAACAAGCTTTAATTTGCACTATGTGTAAGAGCAACTATATCTAGAGCATAATTGAGGATATTTGACGTTGATCTTGAGCTGTCAATAACTTATCTTCAGCTATCATCAGTGTCGTCAGCAGAATTAACAGAAATTCATGTTGAAATTCTATGTTTCGTACCAGTCTAGAAATCGCTGATTCTGAATATGCAATTTTCTTCGTTGTTTTTTTCAAGTATAACGGGGTATGGCAATATGCTGCTTCCAATGCGCCATCGCGCCTTTTTTTTCGCAAATTTTAATACCGCCGGCGTTATAAGTATATTCTAAGTAGAGGGGCTAGATGTAAGTCTTTAGTCAAGGTAAAGTTAGTTTAAGTCCCTTTTTAGCGGATATACATGTCTAAACATCCGTTTATTCTATTTAATATTTTCTTTATGAAAGATAACCAGAGGACTGTTTGAACTTATTCAGAGGAAATTAAGAGTTTAACGACTAAATATTGATGAATGGTCTGACTTTTACCAGCAGAGCTACTTTACTGATTTGAAATATACTTGAAGATTTTCAACAGCTCGACTGGGTGAGGATCTTATAGGCCGATCTTTTCCGTCGCCTACTGGCCATTCAATATGACCAATAAGCTTAGGCCTAACCAATCAGAGACACACATAATTGGTACAAAAGGGCATTCTGCCACTCGACTCATCAGTTACTTTATGATGAACATTACTTTAAGTCCGAATAGCTTATAAATTACATTCCTTCTTGATCTAAATAGCCAACATTAAAATATACCTGCTAAACAGGCGTTGATGGTGAGCAACAAAGTCCATTTTCCCATTGTGAGGAAATGAATGATAAGGAAAGTAAGTGCGGCAAATGCTCCACACAAAATAGTGTTGATCATCGCAAGCGCAACAATATTTCCTTCCCCAGGTTTGACAATGTCGGCCATTGAACCTTGAAATCGTAGACACATTTTTTACAGACAGTTTATTTTAATATATCGGGTGTCCCAAAAAAATGCCCGGTGATTGATTATGAGTAATTTTTTTATCTTTAAACCTTTTCCGAGCCTTACTGACTCGATTTGAACGGTCAGCTTGAATTCAGACTTCCACTTATTAGGTCGTAAAGAAAGTCCTTGCGGTTTACATAAAAAACATAACTCCGCTTAGAATAAACTTTTTCAATCGAAATAAGAATCATTACAATCAACACATTTCTGCC